AGATCTTACAAGATCATATGAATTCTTGTCATAAGGTCTTACAAGACCTTGTCACTTCTCATAACCAGATCTTGGGGGATCTTATAACAAGAAGTTACAAGATTCCATAAGATCTTATATTATCTTAGAATAAGATCTTGTATGATCATATCATAAGACCTTATTACAAGATTTCACAAGAAAACATCAGATCTTGCAAGGTCTTACAAGACGTGTTTCATCTGGGTAAACTCGATTGTCAAGAAATTCTCGTACATATCAACTACAGTGGAATCTTACCGATAAATATTTCATAATTCATTTGTTTTTTTGTTGTAACACATGCTCGACGAAAAACTTTAAATGTTTCTTTTAAACCAATAATACCCTATGCAATTGTTGTGAAAGTAATTTTCCCTACATTTTTAGTTTTAGTTTTATTCAACATTTTTAACTCGGAAGACCTGTGTTCGTTTTTGCATGTATGTGTGAATTAAAATGAGTATTAAGTACCAAAGACTTAATCTAATATTGTACTCGTTTTATGAAACGAAAGCAATTTTTATTCTTAATCGACGGGTAAGAAAAATAATTTTACATCGTCTTTTTCGTTCGTAGCGGGCTCTACAACACAGCAGACTCTTCAGAAGTTTCGTACCGTCAACTCGGAACTATTGAAAAGCCAAATGTTAACTTTTTCTAAAAATTTTCCTCAAAATAGTACTCATCAAGTACTAAATCTTTTGTACCAATCATTTCTGCTACATTTCTGATGCTCAATCACAGTAGTAATAGGTGTTCAAAGGACTGTTTCAAATAGATTTTAAAATACCATCACCCAAGTTTTGTAGAACACCGCAGTTTTTCAGGCAACGGATTTGCCTTGTTTTTCTCTTATGCGATCAAAACGCTTAAAATAATTTGCAATAATTCAGTCTTGTGGAAAATTGTGTCACGAACATTTTAAAATAAAATGTTATTGGCAATCTTTTCCAACATACACTGGAAAAAGCCAGTGTTATGTACGCCGGAATAGCACATCACTTTGAACGGAATTACAACATCGAGTACATGTTATGCTTTTCTCCTTGTTCTTACGCACTGAGAATGATTTTTTCTTTCCTCTGTACACTGCATGTTTCATGCTTGAAAGTCTTGCTCGTCAGTTTGAACAGAACTCGCTCACTTGAGTGAATGTTATCCATTTTACTGATCCATTTTAGTTTTATTTCAATGTGATTGAAAATAAAATTTCTTCCCCATATTTATGCAGGCACGAGGTCGAATCTCGGATCGGTATATGTGGAACATCGGTTTTTCTCTAAGTCTTACAATAATCTTGATGAGAAAAAAAAACAAAGTGACGATTGTGTTCGAAACGGTATAAACAAAGTAAGCGTAATCTTAAGAGCACCTTCTCATCATTATAAGCCTCTTCCTCTTCAATATCTGCGTATATGATACACAACTTTCGTTTTTCTGTCTTAATTAAAGCTTTTAGATAGGTAAGTCCCGAAGCTTTTGAAAAAAACTTTTAGTGAGAGCTGTGTATGTATGCAGTACGTTCTCTCTATTATTTTATTATGATACTAACAGAAACACAGTCTTTTCGGAATAAAATCGTGAACGAGTTAAATCCACTTCCAATGTATTTTGACTCGTGTCAAATCTTGCGAACCAGCAACAATCTTAAATGCAGCTGGTGTTAAGTCTAAATCACCGCTAACACAGCCGACACCTTCTGACACCCTTGGCGGACATCGATCAATAATCTGAACTATTGCTGTTCCTGCCGGTCCTGTTACTCGTACTCGACGATTGCATAATGAATTAAGGTTCTGATTACCATGCGGCGATCGAGGATCGAATTGAGCTGCATTTAGCGCGCCAACCATTTCACTATCGTTATGCTTTGTTCCACACGCAGTAATATCGTCGTTCATGTAATAGAAGGTTGCTTCACCGCTGACCTCATCACTGTCGAATGGATCGCTACTGCTTTGCGCAGGAGTGCTAGCAGTACTTCCTTCCGATGAAGAGCCACTTGAAGCTGCGCATAAACCACCATTGCATGTTCTAAATATACATCTTACATGTCGTAATACTCTAGAAAGTTCGTTTGCCTGCATCACTCACAAATCACCGTCACAGTCGTTGAATTTTTCACATTTGTCACCTATACAATGTCCTTCCCAAGAGCATGATGCTCTAGTTGATTGATTACCAGCGCCACCACCTGAGGAAAAACTTTTGGTTAAACTTCCACTGGAATCACTGCACACACCTCCGTTGCAAGTCCTAAAAACATTGAACATTCAATAATAACCTCGAAGTAACGATATAATAACTACTTACAGATTTCCCTCACAATCGGTGAATGTTGCGCATTTGTCACCCACACAATGTCCTTCCCACGAACAAACGCGAATTTGTAGGCCTAAGGGAGAGCTACCATCATCTAAAGAAGGTCAGATTTAACCATGAGAATATTTTAGACGTCAATGCCTATGGGAAAAACGTTCAGCTTCTAAACCTAAACATAATCTTCCAGTAAACAAATAGATGCTCTGTATCTTTTTGCACACCTTAAACAGTCTGATGAGATGAACAAAATGACAACCTAAACTGGAAAAATAGAGTATGCAGCACTCATATTCCAAATAGATTATAGCAAGGTTAGATAAAATCAGCAAGTTTATTGTGCTTTGAAACATATATCAAGACATTTACCAAGAACTGAGACGCTTGCATTGACATTTACCGGTAATTGTGCAGATGCAGGATATACGGTAGATGCTGATTCTGAAACAAAAAAAATCTATTTGCACCTGTATGACATACACAACATTTACCTGTTTTCACAACTACTGTTAGTATTAATACCAACGGTACGAATCTCAATGGTTGCTTCATGATAAGACAAAAGTTATAGTTAAGAGAACTTTGAATGTGTACTATTGATCAAATGAAAACGTCATCCGTTTTTTTCTCTCTTTTCTCTTATTAAAGCTACTGTCGTTAACGTCCCGTCTTCTAAGATAAATAGTTTTAATCTTACAATAACATTTCATATGACAGACATATTTAATCTATTAATCAAATACATCGTACATCGAATGTTCAATGGGAAAGGAAGAAAAAATAATAATATAACTGAACATCTTTTGAAACGAAAACGGATACAATCACGTCTACGATAGTGATAGCAACATCGATTGTACCGTTTTGCGAAAAACAAAGCAACTCAATTATTCCTATTAAAATTTATACTTTTATTCTTCAGCAGATAAACATACTCGCTCACGGAGACTATTCAGCAATGATTATGATGAATATTAACCAGATATGAGAACACAAGATTATATATGACGTTTCAGATATTCCTTTATACAACCATCCACATACATTCGACAATTTCAGCCTCTTTGAACTCACTCGTTTGCTTCAACTAAAATTTCAAAATAACTTTGTATACGCGAGACTTTCTTGTAATTATAATATTTTCGGTAGCAAAATTTTATTTCATACGTTATCGACTTTGAATTGTACTCATATTTACAAAAGATATCTCTCACCTCCTCATCCGGATGAGAAGCCCAAAATTTATTGAATTATGTCGATCGACTGAAATATCTTAGTGAAAAATTTAAAAATTACTGTGATAATAACAGTGGCCACTTTAAATTTCATTGTCCTATTTATTTATTTCGGCGTTTCGACAACAGAATTTGTCATTTTCAAGAAAGTTATAAATCATACAAGAAATGTTTAAAAAACAGAACACAAAAAAACATACCAAAAAAATTACTACTGATAACATCGAGTCGATTGCACAACTTCAATCGTTGTACAGAATATAGATACAGAACAGTGAATTTAGTTTTCTAGTTTACTACAAAGCTAAGTTCACATGTTCGAATCTCTATTCGTACAAATATTGATTGTGTGTTTTTCGATAGTTTTAGTTTAGAATACTATAATGTAATATTCTTCCGCTTGTATTCTGACAGAATAAAGCTTATATAAAAAAAAAGTGTTGAGTGTAAGAAAAAGTTTGGAGTATGATGTTTCGATTTTTTGCATGCAGAGAAGTGTTATTACCTCGACTGTAAAAAGAGAAGTAGTATAATATAGAAGCAAGAGTAAGTAATACAATATAGAATTGTAGAAGAAAAAGATAAATATTCTACATATTTAAACTGTACAACCTCCATATATTCAACCTTCAACCTTCCAAATATTTTAAGTTCATCCAGCCATGGATGAACTTAAAGAACTTCATTTCAACGGAGAATTTTAAGCAAAGAAATTAAAAATTAGTTCATTTTGTAGAGGATTCTTTGCTCTGTTTCTCATGTGAATTGGATATCACTCGGACTTGATCTGAATTAATTAATGAGAAATTACAAAAATTAAAAAAGATAGTCATTTTTTCTATATATATATGCTTTGAGGTAATTATGATCAACCGTGCAAATTACACGGAATAAGCAGAAGCTGACGTGCGCCGGTCTCTGGAAGTCGGCTGTTGGTCTAGTTCAAGTGAAGAATGTCTTCAGAAAATTATAATGAATTACATATGTAAAAAGCGGAATAAAAACGCATGTTTTTAGTAAGTACTGTGCATAGAATGAACATCGTTAATTATAAATGTATTTCTGTTCATTAAGATTAGGACCAAAAAGCTTTTTAAAAACACATGCTGATCATAATTTCACCATCGGTATACGTTGTTTTTTCACTGATCATAATTACCCGAAATAATTATGATCAGTTGATACCTGCTCGCTGGAAATTGATTAGTACTAATTAACGCTAATGAATTTTAAGATAATTTTTACATCGATCGATAGGTATAACTCAGCTCAACCTACCTGTGAAATAGTCCCTTCTTTTTTGTTGAAAAATGGCTGCAGAGCTTCAAGAATACCGAGAACATCTTTTATCCTGATCATAATTACCGCAGGCTACTCTACCTGTACAACAAAATTATAAATGGAATAAGAAAAATACACACACGATTTGAACACAGAATTAGGCTTTGATCTTTTAGAAAAACGTTTTTCGAAGACCTTCCTGAGAACCTCTAGAGATCTTTAAACTACGTCTGTTGAATTTTCCATCGCCTTTTACCTACTTTGAGAGCTTCTGACTAAATTTCAGTACATATTTTACTTAAACATGACGCACGTATTTTATTCCTTGTTTTACAATTGATAAAACAATGGCGTCAAACGGTAATAGTAATACAAATCTCAGTAAACAGTTAGATTATGGAATAAGTTATGAAAGTGATGGAAATACAAACAATCAACAATTAGTTCCAATCAGAAATATAAATGAGTATATGACAGTTAATAGAAATGGTCAGGAAGTTTTGGATATAAATGCTCTGTATTCTCGATATGGCCTTTTTTTTCTACACGGTTTGAATATGATAACGACTTGTTGTACAAATTGTATCTGAGAGAGGCAAAGTGAGCTTGGAGTCTGCTGTACGTCATTATCATTATGAATCAAATGGAAAAAATATCCACTTTTAAACAGTTTGGATATTTGCTAGATATGTTGCATGTGTCAAAAGTAGAATGCATTTAAATTTGAATTTGCTAACCTACATAGTTTCTTTTTAACTTTAATTTTTATCTTCAAAACTCCGTAATTTATTCTGCGCTGAAAGTTTAGAATGCTTCAGTAGCCATGACGCAAAACACAACATTTGGAACAAAAGAAAAAATTCTTTTTTTACCTAAATGACGATGTTAATGTTGGTATTTTTATGAAAATGAACAGTATCAACGACTACTAATTGTCTTAGTAGATGCACATTAATCAGCGATGTATAGGAAGAATGCATTAGAAGCAGTTTTATAGTCTACTGGTGAATGTTTTTTCTGAAAAAACAGCGAATAGACAACAGTCATAGTTATGAGAGGTAGCGCATACCTCTATGAAACTACTTTCGACTTTATTCTAGTAACGGTTTACATTAATAAATACAAACTTCGACTAACATCAATAAACCTTTATCCACAATTTATGGTTCGAATCAAAAGTGCTTTTCAAAAGTTTTTCATCAACAGCTACTTTCTGATACTGATCGAACTTTAAAGACTTCAAGTTTTATATATAAAAATTTTTTTATAGATCTCGTTGATGAGCACTGTGATCGATCCATATTGAGTAAGCATCTACTAGACTTATATCAAAATCTGCATCATAGCCCTGTAACGGTAAACTGACTCTAGTTCCCAGAAAACTTGATGAAAACCCAACTTCCTATATACCATTCAGCGCGCCTGAACTTGCTCTACAAAACTACGCACTTGGTTTCTCGATTGTAGTATAGTCATGAAATTCAACAAGGTTCTTGGTAATTTTATTTTCCGGTGTATGTGATCTTGTAAAGTGAGCAATTCTGCACCTTCTGGCATAAAACGCATGGCATTAAACTTTGAGTTTGAGAGCAAAAATGGCGATGATACGGAAAGTCAATCAGTTTAGGTCTTTCTTTCCTCAAAAGAGAACAATCGTTTAATATAAATAGCGTCAGATTCTACAGCATAAAATTCTGCATATTTTGACGTTAAAATAATTATTGGAAAGTTGAACTGAAAGGCCAATAACGCTTTGCAAAAGAAGTCAAGTTTATAGTGAAATTAGAATATTTTAATATCGTGAATATTTTCCTAAAATTTTGAATTCATTTCAAAACAAAATTAGCAATTTTCCAGAAAATTAAATTCTGTCTTTTTAGCTAAATATTACAATTTTAAACGCAAATCAATATGGATAAATTAAATCTGAATATTCATCGGCATTTCTTCAACTTGTGTATTGTAAAATTGTTCGATGTCACGAAGTGTACTACGATCTTCATTAGTAATAAAATTAACTGCAACACCTTTTCGTCCCAAACGTCCACTACGGCCGATACTACAATGAAATAAGTTCATAATTTTAGAATAGCTCAGCGGAGATGCACAGATAGACAGCTGATCTAAAAATATCGTCCTTCAGTGCGTAATGCAGTCCTCATATTCCCCGTACAGCTAATCGCAGCCTGAGCGGAAACGATCCATATCCACATTTCCTTATTCATATAATTTGCGAAAGTGCAATTTAACTC